AAGTGCTGTGCGAGCAGCCCCTCTCCTCCATGATGATCGGTGTTGATAAATTGTATAGTCAATTGCTTGACCACACTTTGGTTTATTTTGTTTGAAATATACTCGAGACCAAATGATCGACATCAGTCGGGTTTATTAATGAGATACAGGAAAAAGTTTCTAGACCATACCAGTCTCCAAAGAGCAGTCACACGCAGCGATGGTACTTTCATCTTATGCAGAAGTTGCGTTCCTCAAGTTACAGGTTTCGGCTGCTATTATTTATATGACTTTACAAGTTATCCATTTCTTTACGCGACACTAAAATCCAACCCATCAGCTTGTTCCAGTTCCCTAACTTCTTGTTCTGTTCCTTCCTTAGCTTTGTTCTGGATGTTAGCATTCCACGTACTGATCCATGAAGGTCCTTCCCTAGCTTGTACCATGACAGAGAACGAATGTGTCTTAATTTTGACAAGTTTCCTATCAGCTTGTGCCAAATGCTGACTTCAGCAAATGCAAGGTATTATGCAATCCTTAGCATAAGTGAACAGAATTATGGTACAAACCAGATTAGGTTCTATCACTATTACATTATTGGTGCTTTGTGTGTGTATAATTAATATATATATATATATATATATATATATATATATACACACACACACACACACACATTAACACCATATACAATATGTATATATGGTGCAGATAATACATATTATTAATATGATATATATTTGTATGCTAACCAGCATATATTAGTCAACATCGGGCTGGCCAGTGAATAACAGATGCTGGCAGACTGCCGTTGTGGTGATCCCTTTGCCAACCACAAAGGGAAGCACCCTGACTGGGTGACGCATAAGGGGTCTCTCCATTCCATTCCAGAAACTGACTTAAATGGAAAACCTCAGTCCTCAGCTGCCATTTGCTCCCCCAGCAAACTCACAGAAGAAACGAAAACTCCACAGGCAGATTCTGTGCCTGCTGGAAACCTTGGAAAGGGACCGAAAAACCAAGGAGTAAACACTTCATCAGATGGTGCCAGGAGAAGAGGGGCTGGATACCTACACTTCATTAGATGTCGGGCTGCTGGGAACATAAGTGGAAAGGATGGGGCCTGAGTGAGTTTCTTCAATGAAGTGTGGGGTCAGACTTTTGCTATTGTGTTGAAGTCTAGTGGAGTCGCTCCAGGTTACTAGCAGTGTAACGAGGAAGAGAATTCAGCCTTGTGCGTCTCACCTCTCTAAGGCCTGGTCTACACTGGGGCGGGGAGAGGGGGGGGAATCGATCTAAGTTATGCAACTTCAGCTACGTGAATAATGTAGCTGAGGTCGACATACTTAGATCGACTTACCGTGGTGTCTTCCCTGTGCTGAGTCAACTGCTGCCGCTCCCCCATCGACGACGCCTGCGCTTCTTGCGGCGGTGGAGTACAGGAGTCGGCGAGAGAGTGCTCGGGGGTTGATTTATCATGTCTAGACAAGACGCGATAAATCGACCCCCGCTGGATCGATCGCTGGTCCAGCGGGTAGTAGACCTACCCTAAGAAGTGCAGGTAGTTTACTGCTATGGACCCTGCTGAGAGGTCTAAAGGAGGAGTCTGCTTCCCCTAGTCTCCGTGGTCCCACTTTGGCCAACCTTCCGTTGAGTAGCGCCTTTGAAACCAATGGGACTATTAATAAAGTAAGGTTCCACTCAGCATGTCGGGCAGAATAAGGCCGAGAGTTAGAATGGGCGAGGGGGGTCTCCAGGCTGGTAATTTTACTGCTCTGGCTCCCACTGACCAGAGCCGTTCTGAGCGTTACTGAGCTTACTCCTCCGGGTGTGTTTCCACAGACTGCTAGGAGATGGGCCATGTTTTGCCTCTGCCTGGTGCTTCGATACCACGCTGGGAGGGGTTGCAAGTGCTTTGGAGGATAGGAGTAGAGTTCAAAATGTCTGGAGAAATGGTCTGAAGTAAATAGAATGAAATTCAATAAGGACAAATGCAAAGTACTCCACTTAGGAAGGAACAATCAGTTGCACACCTACAAAGTGGGAAATGACTGCCTAGGAAGGAGTACTGCGGAAAGGGATCTAGAGTCAACAGTGTAACATTGTTGCAAAAAAAGCAAACATTCTGGGATGTATTAGCAGGAGTGTTATAAGCAAGACACAAGAAGTAATTCTTCCGCTCTACTTCACGCTTATATGTCCTCACCTGGAGTATTGTGTCCAGTCCTGGGCGCCACATTTCAGGAAAGATGTGGACAAATTGGAGAAAGTCCAGAGAAGAGCGACAAAAATGATTGAAGGTCTAGAAAACATGACTTATGAGGAGAGATTGAAAAAATTGGGTTTGTTTAGTCTGGAAAAGAGAAGGCTGAGAGAGGACATAAGTTTTCAAGTACATAAAAGATTGCTACAAGGAGGAGGAGGGAGAAAAAATGTTGTTCTTAACCTCTGAGGATAGGACAAGAAGCAATGGGCTTAAATTGCAGCAAGGGTGGTTTAGGTTGGATGTTGGGAAAAACTTCCTAATGGTCAAGGTGGTTAAGCATTGGAATAAATTGCCCAGGGAGGTTGTGGAATCTCCATCATTGGAGATTTTTAAGAGCAGGTTAGACAAACACCTGTCAGGGATGGTCTAGATAATACTTAGTCCTGCCATGAGTGCAGGGGACTGGACTAGATGACCTCTTGAGGTCCCTTCCAGTCCTATGATCCTTTGGAAAGGACTGGAGAATAAGAGACTGAATGGTGGTTCCTCTACTCCGTCCTTGTACGTGATGGCGGGACTGACTTGATCATCCCAAGACAGTGCCTGAAAGATCACTGCTCTAGCCTAGAAAATCTGGAGGGATGGGGATTCTACATCCACCGGTGGAAGCTTATTCCAGGGCTGTTGCTGAGCTTTTCCCGGTCACTGTTCCGGGTACAAGGCTTGGTCCTTGAATCTTTGGTGACTAGTACTCATGGCCCCTGTGTGCCGGCCCCTGCTAGTCAGCTGTGCAGGCTCTGATCTGTGGTGGAACAAGGGCCGCTCTCAGAATCACACGAGCAAGCAGCCAGCGCTCACAGATCAGACAGAATGGAAGCTAAAATGCTTCCTGGCTCTGCAACGGTGCAAACCGCTCCGAGTTTGAATTGATCTAAACTCAGAAGTTTCAACTTACTGACTTGAAATGTTCATAACTTTAACACTCTGTAACTGATTTTCTTCAATCTTGGCTTATTTTGACTTAAAAACCGAAGTATGTCTGACAGTGTGAGCTGCAGCATACGGAGCATGCGGGGGTGTGAGAAGTGTGTGTTATAGGGTGTTAACAGACAGTTTGGTGTAATGAGGCCATGTGTTGAAATGTAAGCAAAAGGGAGTAGCAGAGTTGAGTAGGTTGAGTCTTCTGCCTTCAGTGCTGTCCCCGACTTCATACTCTTGTTGCTGGGTGAATGGCATCTTGTTGCATGGACTTGCTGTGTAGAGTCAAGGGAGCTGCCGGGACTCAGCTATGTCTGAGAAGCAACAGGTTACCTGGAAGTGGGGAAAGCCCTACCCTGCTGCTGGAAATGCTCTGTCCTAGACTTCATGTGTTCCCCTCTCAAATCTACATAATCCAGCTGTTCCCCCAATGTCCCTTCCCTGGGGTCAGCAGTGCGGCAAGGGAGTCTTGCACTGAGAACGTGGCAGCTGGTGAACAGACAGGCTCTGAGCCTGAACCATTCCATGTAGCCGCGTGGCTGCTCTGGAAGCCCGCTGGGCTCCTCAGCCAGGCTGACGGAAGTGGTGAGGAGTTAGCTCAGACCGCCACGAGGCAGAAGGTGGCTTTCAAACATCAATAACGATCATAAGAGCTTCCCCCTTTCTGCGGTGTGGTGCGTTGCATCTCTCAAAGCCCTGCCCAGAAGAGAAGGCTTGGTTTGAAGATTTGAAGCGGAGAACCTGGGACCTGCCCAAATCTGCAAAGGGAGGTGGTATCAGAAGAGATCAGGTTCTTGGGTGTTCCTGGCTCCAGTCCTGTGCTTGGGCCAGGAAGTGACTCAGCGTCAGTCTCGGCCCTCCTCCCGCTTGGAGAGCTGCAGCTGGGTGGGGCTTTACACAGACATCCTTCGCCACGCAGCATTGGGAATGTTTTTATTGAAGGGTTTGTGTGTGTGTATGAAGTCATGTGCCAACGGTTGTTAAACATGGGCCTCATTAAACATGCAGTCTGTTCCTTGGCATTATCATGTGAATTTCCTTCTGCATGTTCCCGGCCAACATGGCCAGACTTGCCTTTCCTGCGTTCGTAACTTCCACTTGCTGACTGGCCTCCGTCCTGTCCTCGAAGGCCTCTTCTCTCAGCTGCCCTCCTCCGACTGGTCTAATTTCAGTCATGTTCAGACTGATTCTACTGGCAACAAAAAGCTGTGTTGGAAAGACTGGGCTGTGTTCACTTAGCCTGCACACACTGTTCCTAGTCACAGCTATGGCTGCGCCCACGAAGAGCCAATGAAACCATTGCTGAAGGCAGCATGGCGTCCTGTGGCTCGGGGCCGGGAGCTGGCATTCCTGGCTCGGAGACTCCCTTCCTCACTCTAGGCCTTAGTTTCCCCCTGCTGTAGCATGGAGATCATGTTCGCCCACGTTGGGGAAGTGGGGCGCCAGCTGTAAAGCGCTGTGACGGTGTTGTCACCCAAGCAGGGGAAGTTGAGTGGCACTGAAACAATGGGTTAAATTCAGAGCGGTTGTGAGAGGTGATGTAAGACTTGCACCCACGCATTGGGCCGAGCGGCTGTGAGGTGCATGCTCAGGAGCTGGTGAAGGTGTGAGTGAAAGGAAGCAGGGGAGGGGGCGGCTAGTGTTGAATTTTGCACCTTTTACACCATCTTAGGGTTGTTGGTTTTTGGCAACGTTCCTGCCTGGCCCCTCAGCTGTGAGTTATGTCAGCCCCGCCCCCTCCCTGGGTGATGTAGCGGGGACGTGGGTGGGAGTCCGGGATGATGCGACATGCACAGAGAGAGGTGACTTGTCCCCTCTTGCAATCCCTGTGGACCGGGTATCTAATCCCCACCTCGATCCAGCCATGGTGGCTTCAGGGTGCTCTGGGAAGCTGCTGGGCTTCAAGGGAAGGCTTCTGCCTCGGCCCCTTTGTGAGACAGTGGAAGGCTGGCTGGGCGGGTTGCTCCAGCCATGCTCTCCAGGCTGCTACCCCCTCCCCGTGACAGGGGTGTGGAACAAACCAAACAAGCAAAGGTTACAGCAGCAGTTCAGTCAGCAGCAACCTGCGAGGGAGAAAGGCTCCCGGGTGCTGAGCGCCACCACCGCCTGCAGGAGCCCAGCCCAGGAGGAGGAGCTGGGAGGCTTTTTGCTCTGGAATCAACAGAAGAGGCTACAGCCGGCATGGACGCGACGAGTCAAGGGAACAGCGCGTCAGCGCTGTCCAACGACAAGGTACCAACCCACACGCACAAACCAGGGCTGTAGAGACCCCAGAAAATGACATGGGCTCTGCAAAGGTGTCCTTCAGAGCCCGTGTCGCCACACTGACCAGCTCGGAAGCCAGCAGGTTACCTCCCCATGCACTGAACGGTGCGTCCAGCATAGATGGGCTCAGGGGGCACTCCTGGATCCAGACGAGAACTGACAGCCTGCAGGGAGGTGGATCTGATGTATTTCCCAGCTGCAAAGTGCATACTGTAGGGCTCCCACCCGTGCTGTGCGGAAGATGATGGATTGTGTTTCCTCTCTGGAACTGAGCTGCATTTGTCAGAGGCTGTAGCTTCTGCTCTGTGCCTGTCAATCTAGCTCTTTCTTACCAGGATTTAGTCGCTCTATCCTCTGAATGAGTTGTAGGATGGCCTGTCTCTCTGGGAGCTTTAGTTGTCTCTGTCTGAGTCATTCAACCCCATCTGTCCCTTCATGGCTCATTTTCTCTCCATCTGTAACTGGGGGAGAGCTGTACTGTTCGGGGGGCTGCACCATGCCAGACACAGCGTTTCAGAGAGGCAATGTAGCCAGAAGCTGCTCTCGGGAACTCCCCGTTCCCAGGCTGCTGTGACCCACACAAGGCAGAGGGAAAGGATTCTGCGTGACTCAGCGATGCTGGCAGGAGGGCATCCCATGGGCTGAGGCTAAAGCGGGGCTGCTCCTCACCTTACAGCAATCATGTCCCCTGTGAGCAGGGGAAGGGGGCTGCACCCCGGTCTGGGAATGAGGGGGAGCAAACTCCAGAGCAAGAGTTCTTGCTGGTCTCCCAGAGACACTGAAGGGAGAATCAAGCAACTTTTGCTCCTCTCTCTCACCCTTTGCTGTTCTGAGCTAGCCTGGCAGAAGCTGGGGAAACCCCACCCAGAATACCGGTAGGACAGGGTACCAGAGCCAAGTCACCACCTACTCCTCTTCAGGCGCACACCGTGATTGCAGAGGGTAAAGACCTTCTCTGGCCCAGCTCCTGAGGCCAGGGCAGATTGTTCCCTATTCCGGCCCTTTGCTGGGAGACTAGCACAGCCCAGGATCATCAGATCGTTTCCCCAGGCCTGCTCTTAATGGCAGAGCATCAGGCACCAATACGATCTCGTCCTGCTCTGCTGCTGCCCAAGGAGAGGCTGGGAGAAGTCGCCAGGGTTCTCCCAAGCTGCTCCTGGAGCTGGTTGAAAAATACCAAATGATGCCTTGTGTGAGAGCCAGATTTAAAAAAACAACCCTACAAAAGCCTTGTTTTCTAAGCCACTTTCAGTGTAAAACAAAACAAACCCCCAAACAAAACCAATGACCTCTCCCCCACCCCAAACCAGCAGGTGTATTTTAAAGCCAAGAACTCAAGGCTTTACTAGGGGGGAGGAAAAATCGGTTCTACCCACCCAACCAGACCTGTTTTTTTAATTCTGTCTGAAAACCCCTTTTCTATCAAACCCCTTTAGCGAGCTCCCTGGCAGCATTGCAAGCCAGCTGCTCCGCTGTGAGCGTCCTCGCCCGCAGCAATGCATGCCCCCGCGTGGGCTCTTTGCACGCAGCTTGGAACACGCACTGCTCCGTGCTCGCGATGTTAAACCGGGGTCTTTTCTGCCTATTTTCTAGTGTGTCCCTGCTGGAAGTTCGAGCCCCTTCCTCCCCGCCCCCCGCTTCCCTATCGCTGGTTGTTTACACTGCCGAGTGGAATGGAGCCTGCCCAGGGTTCAATGTCTTGCTCTGTTCCGCTGACAAACAGCTGGGGCAAGTTCCCTGCTGGTGACCTGGCTGGGAGGGTGAGGGGCCTCGGGCAGCGAGGCGCTGCTGCCAGGCGCAGGCGGGGTGCTCGCTGAGCAGTGGAGGGCAGAGCCTCAGCTTGCACCGGGGAGGGATTGAATCAAGACCACGGGACTCGTGATTAACCCGCCGTCATCTCCCTTTCTCCTTTTAGATCTTTGTGCTGACTCGCGTCTACCTGGCAGCCTTATCTCTGAGGTGGGTCCGTTTACCTGAGGCCTGTCCCAAGACCAGCTGGGGTCAGGATAGGCAGGGGCCAATGTGGATGCACTTTGCTCATGGCCACTTGCCAAGCTCTTTCCCCTGGTAGCCCCCACACTGGCTGCTGACCGCCTTCTATAGGAAGATAATGTGAGAGCTCAGATATCTGCATCAACAAGGCCTCTGCTCTTATCCCTACACTAGGGACGCATGCAGGACGGAGCCAGGTTCTGGGGGTGCTCTCAGGTAGCCAGGCAGTGCTAGTGCAGGTCCCAAGCCATAGTGATACGTCTGGGGTCTGACAGCAGGGTACCGCCAGGGCAGACCCTGCGTGCTCCTGCGTCCAGCTTGCAAAGGTCATTTGGGATGCATTATCCCCAGCCCCAGGGTTTTCCCCCTCATCCTGTCCAGTCTTGTCCACAGCGGGAGGGGACTGTGGAATCCACCTTTCCTTCCACCACGTCATAGAATCATAAAATCATAGAATATCAGGGTTGGAAGGGACCTCAGGAGGTCATCTAGTCCAACCCCCTGCTCAAAGCAGGACCGATACCAACTAAATCATCCCAGCCAGGGCTTTGTCAAGCCGGGCCTTAAAAACCTCCAAGGAAGGAGACTCCACCACCTCCCTAGGTAACCCATTCCAGTGCTTCACCACCCTCCTAGTGAAAAAGTTTTTCCTAATATCCAACCTAAACCTCCCCCACTGCAACTTGAGACCATTGCTCCGTGTTCTGTCATCTGCCACCACTGAGAACAGCCGAGCTCCATCCTCTTTGGAACCCCCCTTCAGGTAGTTGAAGGCTGCTATCAAATCCCCCCTCATTCTTCTCTTCTGCAGACTAAACAATCCCAGTTCCCTCAGCCTCTCCTGACATCCCCTAACATCCCAGGGCCCCTCTCTCTGGAAGCCACCAATGGTCATCTCCACTGTGGAGATGAAGTGAGCAGCCTACAGCGGGGCTTGTGACAAGGTTGCTGGTGCATGAATCCACCAGCAGGAGGCAGCAGTCCAGCAGGAAGCCATCCCCTTCAGTGCTTTTCCGTTGCCACATGCCAGCTCCTTTCCAATCCCCACTGTCCCGTGGCTCTTCTCTCTGCAGTCTAGGAACCAGCGTGAGCCCCACTGCAGCAGGGAGCGCTGGCACCTGGACTCCAGCCCCCCAGGGTGACCAGGATGGAGAGAGGTTGGGACATTACGGGCTGGGAGGCAGGAGGGTTCTGGACTCTGATCCTGTTCCCAGCTCGGAAACCAGCTGCTGGTAACTCACACGAGTGCCTTGCACTTCAGATATCCCAGCTGGGAGAGTGGGTGCAAAGTGGGGACCTCCCCGAGACCCAGACCTGTGTCTGAGCCCAGGCCCAAGGGGATGTTAGCTGTGCTGTGTGCAGACTAATTGATGGACACCATTCCCGGCTGGCCGTGTGCGACGGAGACTAACCGTTGGCTGTATTTTCATTTCAGCCTCGTCGGCAGCAGCTCGGTCCTTGCTGTATCCACCCTCAGGAGGAGATGCTTCCACAGCCAGGTCTGTTGCAGACTCGAGACTCCCTGGATTTTTAGAGAAGTGGAGAGTGTGCGATCTCACGGGGCAGTTTATGCCCAAGGGTTTTTAATCCTGCCCCATAATAGTCCATCCTAATCCCGTGGCCAGTTCACCGCGGCCCTGGCCAACCCTGGAATACGCATTTCTTTAGTTCTGTGTTTCCTGGTGTTTAGCTGGAGCAGCTGCGGGTCATGGGGAAAACCCCATAATTCATGGGGTTTTCAGAGCCCCTGCTGCCCAGCTGCATGTGTTCACCCTGACACCAGGCAGAAGCTGGTCTGACGGATCTCTGCGTGGGACTCAGTTAGGTGGCGGCTTCTAAGGACAGTCTTGAGAGATCAGTGATGGCCCAGTCCGTTTGGGTCAGGGAAAGGAGTGGGGCCGGCCTGCCCCATGGCTTGGTCAGCCCAGCAAGAGCCTCATATGCTTTGAGTGCTCATTGGTTGCTGGAATTGCGGTCTGGCTGCAGCACCTAATCCATGCCAGCTCTCCTTGGCCTGTTTCCTCCCCCCTCCAGGCACAGGGGTAGCACGAGGAAGAGGGCACAAGTGGGAGGAGACGGGTGTTAGGAAGAGTGTTACGTGTACTGGTGGCAGAGGGGACATGGGAGGAGGCAGGGTTGAGCTGTGCGGAGGCTCACGCAGGAGCAGCCATGTTTGAGGTGCCTCCTCTCGCTCGACAGCAGCATTTCTGTGTTTGAGCTATTGGATGGCCGTGGGCCGCAGAGAGGCCACGGATCCCCTGGAGAGGGCAGGCAGGGCGGAGTCAGAGTGAGATGGGGCAGCCTCTTGGTGAGGTGCCTCCCTCGCCGTCAGACGGGTGCAGAGACGCGGCAGCAAAACTCCGCTCACTGTTTCCAAAGAGGATCCTTTCTGACCCTGCTCCCTCAGTGGAGAGGAGTCTCTCCCCCCCACACACACACGCACGCACACCTCCGGGCCCTGCCTCCATCTCTGGGCTCCGGGTGCCCCAGCTCTCTTCCCAGTCCAGGAGGGCATCACCTTCAGGGGAGGGCAAAGGAGCTCTGGGCCACACACCATGCGAAGGAGACTGATGGGTGCTGGGGAGGGAGGGAGGCAGGCGTGTACCAGAGGGGGGCAGGCGAAAAGGGGCTGCTCCCTGCTGGCAGCAGCATCATCCCTAACTAACCTTGTTGCTTTCCCCACAGCTGCGCCCCCTCTTCCTTCTGTCCCTGGCAGACTTCCTGGCTGCCTTGGTGCTGATCATCACGGCTGCCATCCAGCTCCTTCCAGCCCAGCGCTTTGTCCTGGCTTACGAGTTCTGCCCCTACGGCCTGATGCTGGCCATGGTGAGCACAGGTGGGGGCGGGGGTGCGATTGCACAGGGATCGATGTGCGGGCTGGGGCTGGTGACGATTGTGCCCTGCTCAGAAGTCGCTGCTGCTGCTGTTTCTCTAGAAGCCGCGTCCCCTGGTATAGCTGCAGATTGTAACTGTTAGCGCGGATGAGCTCTGGGGTGGGTGTGTCATGCTGCCTCTGCACGTGGTGTGCTGGGCTGTGCCCTCCACTCTGGGAACATCAGAGCCCTCACAGGCCCCACTTGCAGGGGCCAATCCAGGATTGTTCCTGGGTTGGGGTGTGACAATGCGGTTCTGGCGGAACCCAACGGAGAGTGCCAACTCAGGACAAATTGCTCAAACAGGGCAGTTACAGCCCAAGGCTGGGGTTTTTCCACCTCTAAGGCAAACCAAACCAGCCAGACTAAGAGGACTTCGGTCTCACCCCACTGGCTAACCGCAAGTCTCACAAGCAATCTCCTTAGACGCTCCAGTTTCCCAGTATCACCACCAGTACCACTCGTTATGGGGACAAATGGTTATGAAAACCAATACCCCATTAAAAGAAAAGAGGTTTTCCTGATCCCAAAGGATCAAGCCCCAGACCCAGGTCAATATACAAATCAGATCTTACCCACAAATCACGCTGTTGCCAATCCTTTAGAATCTAAAATCTAAAGGTTTATTCATAAAAGGAAAAAGATAGAGATGAGAGTTAGAATTGGTTAAATGGAATCAATTACATACGGTAATGGCAAAGTTCTTGGTTCAGGCTTGCAGCAGCGATAGAATAAACTGCAGGTTCAAATCAAGTCTCTGGAACATCCCCCGCTGGGATGGGTCCTCAGTCCTTTGTTCAGAGCTTCAGCTTGTAGCAAAGTTCCTCCAGAGGTATGAAGCAGGATCGAAGACCAAATGGAGATGAGGCATCAGCCTTATATAGTCTTTTCCAGGTGTAAGAACACCTCTTTGTTCTTATTGTGGAAAATTACAGCAAAATGGAGCCTGGAGTCACATGGGCCAGTCCCTGCATACTTTGCTGCGTCTGAAGGCATATTGGCCTTCTCTCAATGGGTCCATTGTATAGCTGATGGTCCTTAATGGGCCATCAAGCAGGCTGGGCAGAGCTAACACCAGTTTGTCTGGGATGTCACCCAGAAGCATAGCATAAGTTTGCCATACAGACACTATAGAGCCAATATTCATAACTTCAACTACAAAACTGATACACACATAGAGACAGCATAATCATAACCAGTAAACCATAACCTTGTCTTAGACACCCCATTCGACCCCCTTTATACAAGATTTGGTGCCACTACAGGACCTTGGTTGCAACAATGATCTATATGGTCCCAGTTTATGTCAATAACGTCACATGGGGTCACAAGGATGGAGATTCAACCCCTGCCCGGGGGAGACGGTGCCACACCTCAGCCCTTCACCCACCCCAGGTGGAGCGCTCACGCCAGCACCCCAGGGTGATGCAGCTCTGCTCCCTCCCTGGGCTTGATGGCTCCAGAGCCCTCCCCTGGTGATGCCAGTGGAAGTGGGGTTTCCTTCCGCCTCTGTTGACAACACTGGCCTGGGGCGCCTAAACCAGAACCAGCCCTGGGCTTCCAGCCCCTACCCGCCCCATGCTGCCTCAGCCACTTTCTCCTGCTACTTTACCCTCAGTCCAGGGCCTCTTCCACAGCCCCTCCTGTGCGGCGTGTCCTGCCTTCCCTGGCAGCCAGCCCCTCGCTCGCTCTCTCCTACTCCACCTGCCTGCAGGGCCTCTGGGTTTGAGTCCTATTCAGCTCTTCAGAGAGCCCTGGCACGCCAGCCACAGGATCCCCCTGGGACCCAAAACCACCCTAAATGCCTTAGCGGGCCGGCCCCAGTAACGGCGACTGGTGGGGCCTGCTCTCAAAGGGGCCAGCCTGCTCTGCTAGCCCAGGGTTGAAGGTCTTCCAGACAGTTTTGACTCCATGTGACCCTGTCTTTTCCAAGCCAGTTTGAGCCAATGGCTCAATTCAGATTTCAGGAGACACGGTTGCATATGGGTTACTACAGTCCAGACATGGGACACCTGCTGCCCTTTGCATCGGGGTGGTAGCCACCGGCTCCCATAGCTCTGGGGGAAGAACCGTGGTTTTGGAGCCCGTGATGAGTGCTAAGCCTGAGCCCAAATGGATCCTGTGGGGTGGGGGGACATGTGCCTGGGGTACATGGTCATGGGTTATTAGAGGAGCCAGGGACCACTGAGTGGCTGAGCCTGTTGGCTACCGCAGGACTGTTCTGTGCCATGGCCTGCCCCCATCCAGCTCCACTACCGGGAGCACGTGGAACCCGCTCGTCAGCGTGTCACGTGGCCGTGCTGGGTGGGAACCCATTACGGGCCCCACTACAGAGCCTAGCTGGTGAGGTTGGGCTGCGGCGACTCGCGCTCAGCTCCGGATGGTCCCGGTTCAAATCCATGTGTGTCAGCTGAGATGGCCGCCATCAGGCCCTGCTATGCAGCACGGCTGGAAAGCCAGGAGGGAGGCCCCAGTCAGGGGCCTGAACCTTTGCAGGGATGGATGAGGGGGCGAGGTTCGTGCCCAGGGGGCGGCTCCCCCCCCCCCCAACCCCCCGGAGCCGTGGTGGTGTCGTTACCAGACTGGACAATGCCCAACCCCCCTGGGGTTCCTGGGAGCAGCGCTGACACCAGGACCCTGGGCATGGGGAAGGCAGGAAAGGCTAGTGGGAACGGGGGCCCAGCGGGGCTCCTGGCTCCCCCGAGAAGCCTGCAGGTGGGATTGTTGCTGGGTGTGACCCTCAGTTTCTCTCTTGCTCAGATGTTCTACGCGATCTCCTTCCTGATGGTCATTGTCTACGCGTACGAGGTGAACCGCACCATCCGTGGCTGGAGAGTCACGCACGTGACCGCTCTGCAGGTAGGGGCTGACCAGGCCTTCCTCCCCCATCCTGCTGTAATGTCTGAGGCGGTCCTTCTCTCCCACCGGGCACAACCAGGCCAGGGGCCAGATGGAGCTGCTGGTGGCAGACAGACACCACAGGGGGACCAGAGAGACAGACGGGAGGGAGAGTTACGCCACATGCCTCCAGGCAGGGACAGGCCATGCCGTGAGCATCCCTCAGACCTGCCAGCCGCTGGCCCTGGCCCGAGGAGATTGGGGGACGGCGCTGTGGTCACCCACCCACACCTTGGTAGGGGAGGAAAGGGAGCAGAATGGGCACAAGTTCCTAGCCAGGTTGATCAGCAGCGAGGAGGTCTCGGTGTTCTCTAGCCGGCAGCCGGTTACCTTGGCGCCCTGGCTAGTAGTGGGTGTTGTGTCAATGGGACGCTAAGGGTGGCAAGAGGGTGCCTGGGGCAGCCCGTTCCCTGTTCTACCATGTGTGTATTGTGATGTGATGCCCACATCCCCGGGCACGGCCCCCGGTCCCCCCTCTGGTGGCCCATGGGGGCCCGGGCTGCTCTGAGAATGGTCAGCCTGAGGGAGTGGTTCAGAGACGCAAGTGCAGAGCAGCAGCTTTTGGGACCCCAGGTGGTCCCGTCCCCTCCTACATGGTTTTAATGCCACTGTTCAGGGCTGCACATTCCTGCGAGACCCACGGGACAATGGGCCACGTCCCTGGACCCGGCTCAGTGCCAAACGCTCCAATTTCCGTATCCAGACCCCGTCTCTAGCCCTGCGGCGAGGCTGCGGCCCTTTCTGACCCAGCTCTTCTCCGCTGCAGGAGAGGCGCAGGTGCACGGAGAGGGCACAGCACTGCCTGCCCTACGTCCTGGCCTGGTAGGTGCTGCCCGCTGGGCTTCTTTGACTTGTGGGTTTGGATTGGTACAAAGCTGCTTGCCCTGGGCCCCCCTCACGGCCCTGCAGGCTTGTGAGCGGTGACCAGCGCGGCGCAGCCGCAGAGCCTGCGTGACATCTGCCTGCGCTGTCTGGCTCTGGCCAGCATCACCTGCTTAGGGGAGAAAGCGTCTGTCCTGGTTCGCAGCTCCAGGCTAGGGCGTCCTGCATCCCCTCCTGGCTCCGCACGGCTGTGCAGCCTGGCCTGGGGGAAGCGACAGCATAACGCAGCCCCAGTCTGACTAGTAACTGCAGCTCTCTGGGCCTCAGGGTCCCCATCTCTAACGCGGGGTCAGACGTGCTGCCCTGGGAGCCCCAGCTGGGGTGTGCCGCCGCCTTTGCAACCCGGGGGCAGGCACAGCCTTCCCAGTGCATGGGGTGACTCCCCGCCGCGTGCCCAGCCTCTCACGCTCTTCCTTCCCCCTCCCCGTCTGTCTCTGCCAAGGCTGCTCCCCGCCCTCACGTTCCTGGGCCAGCTGCTGCTGAGAGGCGCGTCGGTGAGAGAGATCGCTCCCATGTCCATCGAACCCGTCCTGCCCCGTACGGCCAACCACTCCCGAGGGGCCGACAGCCTGTACTGCTCCAGGTAGCGCTTCGGTCCATTCGCAGCAGCCGGCCCCTTCTCCCTTCCAGCAGCCTGAGCCTCCCCCGGGAAGGCCCCGCAGAGCCTTCGGCTGCCTCTTGTTCTGAACCAGACCGTGCTCGCTGGGGCCGGGACCGTTACTCCCGGGTCTGTGCAGAAGCGAGCAGGCCCAGTCCATAATGATCCTGCGCCAAGGGTTGTGACACTAGCTCCGAGTCCTGCCCCGCCAGCGAATGCAGCTCTCCCTGAGTCCCATCCCACAGCCAGGTGGGGCGGGGCCCGGCAGCCGGGCTCAGTGCAGGGTGCCCAACTCCCCTGGCGCTGCCGAGCTGCAGTGACAGCTGGATCCTGAAAAGCTGCCCCAGCCGTGCCCGCGGCTGGAGCCTGTCACTGAACTCAGCTCCTGCCCTGGAGAGAGGTGCCCTGAACAAGGCCCTGCGCTCTGGGGCACGGCGCTGGTACACGGCCTTGCCAGACAGACCACACCGCCGTGATGGGAGCTCCCCCTTCCCGAGGGGAACGTGCTGAGATAAAGTGCTGGGAGCCAGCGCCACTTACACAGCCATGTTCTTTCAGCTGCCTGATCCTCATCCACCGCTCCCAAGACGTCTGCTATAAGGTCAGAGCTCCCCGGCCTCTGCTTCCTCCACCTCCCTCTTCTTGAGCAGTGCCCAGGTGCCAGAAAGCCTTAGCCTGGCTCAAAAGCTCTCCCAGGCAGCAACTGTCCTCCAATCTCCCGTTTCCAGCCACTTGCACCATTGCTCGTGGCTGTTACCCTCCTGCGGGGGCTGGGGTGGGTGGGTGGGCAGGTGGGGTCTGTCCTTACTGGGTAACCAGTACACATTGCTTCTCCTCCCGTCCGCCCCACCATTCTACCCATGGGGCAGCTCTCCCTACCCCTGCTGCCACCTGGGAATAAAGGAAGATGGAGCTGAGCTGGGGATCAGGGTGCATGACGGGCAAAGGGCAGGGTGGATGGAAGGGGCCAGGGCTAATGCCCCAGCAAGGAAATTCCTGCTACTCTGAGAGGCTGGGCTGGACCTCTGGGCTCAGCTGGTGCCCACCTTTGTGTTTGTTCTGTAAAGCGCCTGGCCTGGGATTAACGAATACTAACATCATGTCTCCCCAGAGCAGTGTGGGTCTGAGTACTCCCCATTCCCAGCCAGGTGCCTGGGTGGGGGAGGAGCTGCGGGCAGGGGAGGGGACAGCATAATGCCCCAAGCAGCCGCCTCACAGCGCTTTCCCTGTCTCTCCCAGTACACAGGTGGGAAGGACACTGGCCTGGAGATGAAAATCATCTTCTTCACGTACCTGCTGCTGGTGCTCAGCTGCAGCACAGTGAGCACATGAGTTTGTCATATCCTTGAGTCTCAGCAAGTGGCCTGTGGCTCACAGCCCAGAGCCTCAGCGCGGGGGGAGCGAGTGTGCGTGCGCCTGTTGAACGGCGCCGGGGCGGAGAGCGAGTGTGTGCACACCTGTTGAACAGCGCCGGGGCGGAGAGCGAGTGTGTGCACACCTGTTGAGCAGCGCCGGGGCGGAGAGCGAGTGTGTGCACGCCTGTTGAGCAGCGCCGGGGCGGAGAGCGAGTGTGCGTGCGCCTGTTGAACGGCGCCGGGGCGGAGAGCGAGTGTGCGTGCGCCTGTTGAACGGCGCCGGGGCGGAGAGCGAGTGTGTGCACGCCTGTTGAGCGGCGCCGGGGCGGAGAGCGTGTGTGTGCACGCCTGTTGAGCAGCGCCGGGGCGGAGAGCGAGTGGGAGTGCGCCTGTTGAGCAGCTCAGGAGGGAGAGCGAGTGGGAGTGCACCTGTTGAGCAGCACGGGGGGGGGGGGGGGGGTGTGGGTGCGCCTGTTGAACAGCGCGGGGGGAGGGAGAGCGAGGGGAAGTGCGCCTGTTGAACGATGCTGTCTCTGGCAGTTCCTCTACTGCAGGGTGAAGCTCTGGTGCAGGAGGAACAGTGAGGTGCGGTTTCTGAACATGGAGAACGACGGCTTCGCCAGCAGGAACATCCAGAGCGTGTGCAAAATTTCTCGCTGCTTCCAGCTGGTTTTCCTGATCTGCTGGACACCAGGTGAGTTGCCCCTACTAGATCAAGGTTGCTGACGGGTCCTCTCTTCTGTGTGCACCATGATCCCTTCACAGTGCAATCAAGTGCAAACACGCAGCCTCCCCCACCACCCCTGGCCAACATTTGGTCCCAGCCTTTTCTCCACTCCCCCATGAGATCCCTGTGCCGAGAACGATACGTGTTCAGGGAGAGGCTGAGGAGCAGGAGTCAGGCTGGCTCTAGCAACAGTGCTAGCAGTGCTCCTGGGTCTGGCTGAGCCAGGCTGGGGAGAAGTGGAAGGATCTGGCCTCAGTGCCCGAGGAGATGTTCTGTGCTTTAAGCATCAGGTTTGAAGTCTCTGGCTGCCCTAGAAACGCGGAACTCCAATTCCTTCTGGGTTGGCTCGGCTCCTCCTCCTCTCCCGCTGGACCAGCTGAATCGCACTCATTTCAGTGGGTAGGGCTCTTTCAGAAGAGCCCTTAATCTTTCGTGCAGGTGCCCAGGAGCAGGACAGGCCAATGTTTCCTCTCCCCGCTGCAAGCTGCCTGGCTTCCACTTTGGAAGGGGCTGCACATTCGCGGTGAAGCTGTGTGTGTACAGAAGCGCTGGTAAATCATGGGGGGACCCATCCCCCGGGGAAAGGCGCTGGACAAACGGCAGATGAGGCTTAGGGCCTGGCTGGCAGCACTCTGAGGGCTGCGTGTTAAAGGCAGGTGCAGAAGTAAAGGGCCAGAGAGACGAGCAGGATAAAGCCATGACTGCACATTCCTTTGTTTCTGTCCACAGCCTTCCTGCTCAGCGTCCTCTCCTTCACCAGCATCGAGCCCACCTCCCTCTTCGCACTTCATATTGCCATGGTAAGGAAGTCTCTACAGCCTGACAGGCCGGTGCTGCCGCTACTTCGATGTGAGCTTGTTAGGGGAAGGACTGTCTTTGGATTAGTTTTGCACAGTGCCTAGCATGATGGGGGCGCTGACTGGGGACCTCTCTATGCTACCACCAGACAAGTACTGAGAGTGCAGAATGATCAATGGCCAGTCGAAAGGGAGGGAAGTGAAACAGCAGGCAGACAGCAGGGGTTGCTTCTGTTACAGCTCCCGTGGTGCCTGTGCAGTCACTGGGTGGGTATGTGCTTCCTCTGTGTGCGTGTGTAGCACTCAGGTGCTGATGAGGCAGGTTCTCTGCTAGGCAATACGACTCCGTGGGTGGAGGGGGCAGGCACTGGTCCATGCACAGAGCACAGTGGCCCCTGCACAGTGAAATGAAATAAACCATGTCCAAGGGCTGGATGAGTTCTGCTGGTGCTGCCAAAATGTAAATAAACGGCCCTATGAGCTACAGGCCTCCGGCTCGAGGGGAGCGATTCCAGGGCCCAGCTCAGCGCCTTTGCTCTCTCCTGCTGCCAGAGCTAGGCAGAGCTTTATCTCCTGGCTGTTAATGGAAAGTCTTTTGCTAACCCTGCCAGTAGGGTTACCATATTTCCACAATCGAAAAAGAGGACACTGGGGGGGGGGGAGCCCTGTCCTAGCCCCGCCCCTGCCCCATCCACTCCCTCCCACTTCCCACCCCCTGACTGCCCCCCTCACCCCCCCCAACCCCCCCCCGGCTCCTTGCCCCCTGACTGCCCCCTCCTGGGACCCCCCCCCCCAACTGCCCCCCTAGGACCCTACCTGTCCCCTGACTGCCCCGACCCTTATCCACACCCCCACTCCATATTCACACCCCCGCCCTCTGACAGGACCCCCAGGACTCCCATGCCCTATCCAACCCCCTCTGCTCCCTGCCTGCCTCGATCCCTCTCCACACCCCCTCCCCCACAGAGACCCCGGGGACTCCCACGCCCTATCCAACCACTCCCTGCCCCCTGACAGGACCCCCAGAACTCCCGACCCATCCAACCCCCTCTGCTCCCTGCCTGCCTCGACCCCTCTCCACACCCCTGCCCCGACAGCCCCCCCAGAACTCCCGACCCATCAACCCCCCCCTTACTCCCTGTCCCCTGACTGCCCCCTCCAGAACCCCCCTGCCCCTTCTCCACCCCCTGACCCCCTTACTGTACCGTACTGTGCAGCGCGCGGGGCAGCAGGGGAGGAGGAGAGAGAAGCTCGAGAGCTGCCGGGGGCCGGCAGGCGGGGATCTGAGAAGAACGGGGTGGGGGGGGGAGAGAGAAGGGGAGGGGAGGAGCTCTAGAGCCCGGCCGGAGCGGGGGCTCTGGCTGCCGGAGCCCCACGCGAGTGGCAGGATGCGGCTGGCTGCCCTGTCAGTCGTGCCCTGCTCTGCGGGGGGGGGGAAATCCCGGACATTTTTAAACATTTACAAATTCCCCCCGGACGCTATTTTTAACTCAAAAAGCCGGACATGTCCGGGAGAATCTGGACGAATGGTAACCCTACCTGCTAGTGGGAGGCCGTGTCAGTCTTGCTCTCCTTGGAATCCTGGCTGTGGCAGGAGGAAGCTCGTCTGTTTCAGTGGGTTACGCAGTCATCTAACTTTCCACTTTCTGTCATCGACTCTGTGTTTGGAGAGGAGCTGCCCGACTCTCCCCGGACATGGAGCCCTGCAGAGCAGAGGGCAATGGCCCTGCTGTGCAGAAATGGCACAGTCGCAGGAGGTGTTGCTAAAAGCGCCGCTCTCCCTCTCTTGCAGGCCGTGACCATGTCCCTCCAAGGGCTCCTGCACAGTTTGGTCTACGGCTGGCTGCGGCAGAACTTCCGCCAGGAGGCGCTGGGGGAGACGCTCCCCTTGAGATACTACCCCGGCCTCAAAGCCTTCTACGACGAATCGTTTGGTGTTGAGTGCTAGGAGAGTGCCTGCATCGATCTCTGCTGCTCGCTGGGCCCCAAGTCTGCAGCAGCCGATGGGCATTTCGTAGGAGCACTACACAGCTTCTCTCCTCACTGGGGGCTGTTCCCCCTGGCCACTGCACCAGGCAATAAGGAATCAGCCCTGTACTGACTTTGTGGAAAACAGGGACCGGCACTGATTTCACCACCCTTCTGGCTCACGAGAAATAACTTTGCAAACACGGCGTTAGAGCCACACCTGCTCCTGGAAGCAAGCTGGCTGGGGCCGGCAACCCAGGCTGGGAGGGATGGACAGCCTCCCCCCCCCCCCCCCCCCCCCCCCGTGGGGACCCTGGGGCTGCTGCAGGCCTCTGAGCCAGAAGGGAGCTTGAAGGATCCGTGGCTCTCACGAGGACAAGGCCATAGGATGTAGAGTAGAAGCTCTCTGGAGCAATTCTCTTGCGCAATGGATTGATTTCATTTACTGTGGGGCCGAGCGCCCCAGTCATGGAGCAGGACCCTGTCTGTGCCAGGCACTGTACCCAGCTGTGTGTGTGTTCATGGCTTGGGAACAGCCTGTATTAATTCAAACAACATGAAAGGAGATAACGGGGGTGCAGAGACTACTGGCAATTGAATTTTAATTGTGGCTGGCCTGAGGCGGCAGTAGAGCTTGCTTGGCCCTCAAGCCCCGTCTCTATCCACTTGAGAATAAAAAACCGTAACCCTTTCTTCCCAAGCTGGCCTCGCCTGTATCACCTCCCCCCCGCTCCTCGACCTGTAAGGTGTTCACAGTGCTTTGTATGGCAGAGCACGTCGGTTGCCTCAACAGGGCCCAAAGGCGGATGCTTAGCCACTCCTCGTCCTTCCTGCCCCTGGGTAAACAAAACCCAAGCCAAGAGCAGCTCCCCCCCTTTTCTGCCAGGGATGAAGGGGTTCTTGGCTAATGCCCCAGAATGAATACAGCTAACAGCCCTAGAAGCTCTCCTGCTCCCTCGTGTGCGCACTCAGCTCGAGACTTGTCAGCGTTAACCCCCCTCACCCCCGGCTAGTTAAAAGCCAGACCAACCCTGTCTCGTGTTTGGCCCTGTTGCTGTTGGCTCCCAAGGGCTGAAATTGTGCCCCACTGAACAGCAGCTGCTGGTTCGTACGGGCAGAGGCAGACAGCTGTGACCTCTCTGAACTCTCCAGCCACATCTGGCTTTGTCTGAGTCAGGCCTGACCCACAGAGCAAACCAGCCCCATTTTGCCCAAATATTTATCTATGTGCTGTAACGCCCCCTTTCATTAATTTCCACCCAAACCCCTAGGACCTGCACACAGACACGGTTACTCCTTGGGGAATTCTGCACCACTGTGCATGTGCAGAATTTATGTTTCCTGTCCCCCCCCTGATTTCTTTGCTTCCCCCCAGAAAAATGTGACTTTCTGATGGAGCAGAAAAGGGAAGCCACAAGTGGTCATGTGACCCTCCCCAGCAGTATGTTGTGGATGCCCAGGGCAGCGGGCAGCGAGGTAAATCACTGTGGGGCAGGGACGGGACTGGGGAAGACCCGGGTGGTGGCTCCTACCCTGTGCCAGGCTCAGCTGCTCGTCCCAGCTGGGTTGGAGAGGACAGGACTTCCTCTTCCCCTGCAGAGCCTCCACCCCCAGACTGTTCCCCTGGCTGCAGGAAGCTCTGCAACCCCCCATCCCGCTTCCTGCACCCATTGCTCCTCAGCTGCAGGGGGAGGGATCCCTGTTCAGGGAGCTGCTCCCCTATCTACCCAACCCCCTTGTACCCTGAGCCTCTCCACCCCCTACAGAACACCCCTGATGAGCCCCACGCCACCTGCACGTGGATCACCATCCCACTGAGCCCCACCCACCTTCACCCCCATGCAGAGTCTCATTACCATTGCACCCCA